GTCTGCGTTTGTTGATCCGTCTTTGCCGTCATCTCATGGCAGCGACACCTGGTGGTCACCATGGGAACAGTCTACACACACACACACACCTTATGAATACTTGGACATCTTCGATCGTCCCACATCAGTCACACTGATCAACACAGATTCATCGATCATGTCAAAGTTTGATGATTTCATAACAAGAAACATTCAGTTAATCGCTCAAACCTGACGAACAGAAACATCAGAGCTCAGAAAGACTTAAACCTAAAAGCTTTTGTTTGATACATTATGACTAATAAACTGAAACAAAGTCTCCAGCTGCTGTAATGCTGAGCACTCAGTGGTGTGACAGCCGTGTACGGTCATGGATGTTTATTAAGATGCTTTAGTACCGTTGCAGTCAGAGCCTCTCGCATCAAATATATTTTTAATTTTCATTAATTTGCCCAAACAGACGACATTTAATGTCATTTTAACTTAATTAAAGCATGTTTTATTATCATAATATTAATTATTATTGTTTTTAAAAGGATAAATGAAATGAAAGTGAATAAAATGTAAACCCTTTGGTCGGGACAGTTCTCAGCCGCTAACCACTGATGGAAATAACGAGTTTGGATTGGCTCAGGCAGGAAGAGGGCGGGACACCCACCAGCTGCTGGGTGAGCTGTGCGATGGTTCGGTCACGGCTCCGCAGCTCCTCTCTGAGCTGCTGCACCTCCTGCAGGAGAGCCTGGACCTGCAGGCACGCACACACAAACACACACGCACACACAGGTGGCGGCTGAGCAGAGGCATTCTGGGAAATGCAGGAAAACAAAAGAGACGATAGAAGAAGAGAAGAAAAGCCTGAAAGGCGCCGACCTGTGAGTCGGAGCTACGCGAAGAGTCGTTGGCCTCGGGACTCAGAGTGTCTGTGGTCAGAGTGTCGTCATCGCCGTCGTCCTCCTGATCACAAACAACAACAACAAACAGTAAACAAGCCGATGTTACAGATGAAAGCTGGACCAGTACACCAGCCCACAGCTCACCTGCAGCAGTAACCTCTGCAGGTACTCCAGCTGACACCTGACAGCCGAGCAGTCTTCAGCCAGCTCCTCCACATCCAGACCCAGACTGGGAGTACCAGGAGACGGGGAGGTGGAGCTAAGGGGAGGGGGGAGGTCAGAGGTCACACATGTCTGCCCACAAATATCAGAGCCTATGCTGAACTCTAAACGCACCTCAGAAGTTTACACATGCAAAAAACACTTTTTCACACATTTCATTTTAGGCAGAGGATACACGAGAGAGCCAATCACGTTTCAGGGCTAGCTCAGGCCCCGCCTCAGGACATGCTACATGAGGCCAGGTTCATCATCAGATAACTAAGAAAACATGCTGCTGAAGCTACAGACGGGAACTTTGAGGTTTGAGGACAGAAACTGAGGATGTGCTGAATCACCTCGTAGGAGGACAGAGGTCCAGGACGAGCTCGCCGTCCCTGTTTGAGTCCGTCCTCTTATTCCCAGGATCCTCGGTGAGCTTGTAGCTCTGAAAATCGCTGAGGCTAGAAGAGAAAGACAAACGATGCACGAGGTTTAGTGATGATCGTCAGAACATTACAGCAGACACAGTTTGTCCCATCATGGCTGTATGAACAGTGTAGAGCAGGGCTCTCAAACTCGCGGCCCGCGGGCCATTTGCGGCCCAAGTCACCTCTACTTGCGGCCCGCATATAGATGTGAAGAAATATTTTTTAAAAACTATTCCACGAAAAATGATTTAATACGACAGCAGAGTGTTACAGGCATGGCCCTTTAAGACTGTAGCCTCATGGGTGGTGTAGTCCGTGCTGCAGGGAGAACATGTGGGACCGCCTCTCCCGCTGTGTGAGAGCGTGAGGGAGAAAAAGGAACATTGAAAAGTAGGAGCTGTCACCGAGCAGAAACGGGAGCTGGAAGCATGTAAATATAATAATAACCTGCAGCCAAACAGAGAGCCTGACGAGCCCAGCTGTAAGTAAGCTGTTAAGACTCGACTGTACACTGTGTTCGTGTTTTCCTCCGAAACAAAGTTCTGCTGGAGCCTTTCAACGCCTCTCTCTGTCTCTCGCTAGCAAAGCTGACCCAGACAGTAAAGCTAGTTCCCGGCTACGAGCCCGACACGAACCCAAAGTATTAGCCAGAGTTTCCTTACCGCGGTTGGGAGCCGCGGACCTGGCCGAGGTAACGAGAGAGTGCAAACATGCTGAGGGCTGTGTTAGCTCAGCGACAGATTTATTTGGAAAGAAAACTATTTTCACTTGCAGTCGAAAACTCATGTGTACGCTTATACCTGCATCTTTATTTTGTTAAATACAAACATAATTGTAGCAAAAGTGCTGCCACGTGTCTGACCAGAAAGAGCTGTTTATTTGGTAGTTCAGTGAAACTACTGTCCTACACTGCTGAGTGACTGTCTGCTGCTCATCAAATACATTTCATTGCAATGTTGACCCTGTGCTAGCTTACAAATGACAAATGAAACTGAAAAGCTTCAGATAGTTAAGAGTGAGAAAAAAAATTGTGTTCATGTTTGCAATTTTGTCTTGTCACACAATATTTGGAATTAAATAAAAAACAAAACACTACATTTTAGGAAATAATGGGTGTTTTTTTGTACTACTTGGACACTAAAGTGGCCTCCAATGAGATGACGGTGCCAGAAGTGGCCGGCGGCCTGGTGTAGAGCATCTCTCTGCAGCACACTTTAGCTTGCTCCAGGTGTGCACCGAGCAGGCCGAGCTTCTCAGTTTTCTAATGAGACGATTTATTAGACACACAAACGGCTGTAAGCGATAATCCATTTGTTCAATCTGTGACATTTTCCTCACAGTCAACATCGATCTCGACCTCTAAATGACCCGCTCTGACCCCGAGCCCTCAGCGTGGACAGTCGGTACTCGCCGGTCCTTTTCTCTCACCAACAATAACAACGTAATCAGGCTGATACTGATAATCTCAGTACTTCTATGGGTTAAATCTTTTGTGCCCCAGGGCATCATTTCCATTTAAAACAACTATTAAATCCACTAAAAGTTGTGTTTAAATGACGAGAAATTAAAAGAAAAGACTAAAATAATCAAAATTTACAAATATCAAAAACAATGAGACACAAAAAAACCCTTACATAAAATCAAATAAATTGAGCTGATAGACAAACGAGCTCCGCTCACCCTTCGTTGTCATTGTGGACGTCCTGCGTCCCCCAGCAGAGCTGCCTCTTCCTCCACTGAGCCATGTGGGACAGCCCGTCTCCGTCTGCAGCCGAAAAATCAAACAAGAGTCAACACTGACCGGAGACGCGGCGCTGTGGTCACCGCTGAAGCTTTTGAGCCCTGCACAGATCCTGCTGCTCGCACTGACGCGACGTGCAGATCACCATGACAACCAGTAAGGATTTAACTCCAAACAGAGGACGATTGTTTTTGTAGGGCATCCTGAAAGCTTGCATCACTCTGGTTCCCTTTACAATACTTTTTAAATGACGCCAGCACTAAGCCCCGCCCCCAGCATGATGATCCCAAGTGTCCAGCAGCTGTTAGCAAACTGGTCTCTGAGAAAACCTTCAGTCAGTTAAACTGGTGAACCCTAACCCTAAGTCTAAACTACACATCTGAGTTCACTTTGCAGTCTCAGCTGATTTTGTTGTCTTGCTGTTAGCATCTTTTGGCTAAGCTGTATTTTGGCTAAACCACAGCCCCGCAGGCCGAGGGGGCGGTGTGGCAGCAATTTTTCACACCAGCCTATTAATCAACCAAAGACCCAGACAGACTTTTAATTCATTTGAAAGCCTGATGCTTAGCCTCGTCCACCCCAGCTGTGAAACTCAGAAACCAGTCTTACTTGTTATCATCTATCGTCCACCTGGGCCTTACACAGAGTTTCTGTCTGATTTCTCAGACTTTATATCTGATTTAGTTCTGAGCTCAGATAAAATAATTATTGTGGGTGATTTTAACATCCATGTAGATGCTAAGAATGACAGCCTCAACATGGCATTTAATCTGTTATTAGACTCAATTGGCTTCTCTCAAAATGTAAAAGAACCCACCCACCACTTTAATCACACTCTAGATCTTGTTTTAACATATGGCATAGAAACTGAACATTTAACAGTGTTTCCTGAAAACCCTCTCCTGTCTGATCATTTCCTGATAACATTTACATTTACAATAATTGATTACACAGCAGTGGAGAGTAGACTTTATCAAAGTAGATGTCTTTCTGAAAGCGCTGTAACTAAGTTTAAGAATATAATCCACCCACTGTTATCATCTTCAATGCCCTGTACCAACACAGAGCAGAGCAGCTATCTGAACGCTACCCCAACAGAGGTCCTCATTAATTCTTAAATATGATCAACCTATCTCTAATAATCGGCTATGTACCACAGGCCTTCAAGCTGGCTGTAGTTAAACCTTTACTCAAAAAGCCATCTCTAGACCCAGCAGTCTTAGCTAATTATAGGCCAATCTCCAACCTTCCTTTCATATCAAAAATCCTTGAAAGAGTAGTTGTCAAACAGCTAACAGATCATCTGCAGAGGAATGGTTTATTTGAAGAGTTTCAGTCAGGTTTCAGAGCTCATCACAGCACAGAAACAGCTTTAGTGAAGGTTACAAATGATCTTCTTATGGCCTCTGACAGTGGACTCATCTCTGTGCTTGTCCTGCTAGACCTTAGTGCAGCATTCGATACTGTCAACCATAATATCCTATTAGAGCGATTAGAACATGCTGTAGGTATTACAGGTACTGCACTGCAGTGGTTTGTATCATATCTATCTAATAGACTCCAATTTGTACATGTAAATGGAGAGTCCTCTTCACACACTGAGGTTAATTATGGAGTTCCACAGGGTTCAGTGCTAGGACCAATTCTGTTTACATTATACATGCTTCCCTTAGGCAGCATCATTAGAAGACATAGCATACATTTTCACTGCTATGCTGATGACACCCAGCTCTATCTGTCCATGAAGCCAGATAACACACACCAATTAGTTAAACTGCAGGAATGTCTTAAAGACATAAAGACCTGGATGGCCGCTAACTTTCTGCTTCTTAATTCAGATAAAACTGAGGTTATTGTACTCGGCCCTGAAAATCTTAGAAATATGGTATCTAACCAGATTCTTACTCTGGATGGCATTACCTTGGCCTCCAGTAACACTGTGAGGAACCTTGGAGTCATTTTTGACCAGGACATGTCCTTCAACGCACATATTAAACAAATATGTAAGACTGCTTTCTTCCATTTGTGCAACATCTCTAAAGTTAGAAATATCCTGTCTCAGAGTGACGCTGAAAAACTAGTTCATGCATTTATTACTTCCAGGCTGGACGACTGTAATTCATTATTATCAGGATGTCCTAAAAACTCCCTGAAAAGCCTTCAGCTAATCCAAAATGCTGCAGCAAGAGTCCTGACAGGGACTAGAAAGAGAGAGCAGATTTCTCCTGTTTTGGCTTCCTGTTAAATCCAGAATTCAAAATCCTGCTCCTCACATACAAGGTCTTAAATAATCAGGCCCCATCTTATCTTAATGACCTTGTAGTACCATATCACCCTATTAGAGCACTTCGCTCTCGCTCTGCAGGCCTACTTGTTGTTCCTAGAGTATTTAAAAGTAGAATGGGAGGCAGAGCCTTCAGGATCCTTTCAGCGCCGACTCTTCCCTTAGGTAACAGACTATCCATTGTTTCAGATTCAGCGAGACAAGAACACTATACCTACTTTGTAGAGTACATAATAGGCAATAATTCAATGACTCCTTTTGCCATAAAAAGCATCTACAGTCTCGCATAGGGCTGGCACACTAGGTCGACCACTGACAATCCTCCTTAGTTATGGCATGCTGTACGAATAACTTCCCATCGATACGCACATTGTGCATCGTTTATCTTCATCTCAACTATGGTTCGTTAACAGGAATACGCTTAACGTTCTGCAGCTTGAATCATATGTCTCGTTATTACCATTCTGGTTCATCCCTCTCTCACAACAGTGCAATGTTCTATTATGACTCCTAACTAGTCTTCCTTCCTTCTCCCACAAGCCAATACACAGCGCAGATCTGGCCCTGCCCCTCCCGTCGAGCACTGGCTTCTAGCTGGAGGTTTCTTCCTGTTAAAAGGGAGTTTTTCCTTCCCACTGTCACCAAAGTGCTGCTCATAGGGGGTCATATGATTGTTGGGTTTTTCTCTGGATGCATTATTGTAGCGTCTACCTTACAATATAAATCACCTTGAGGTGACCTTTGATGTGATTTGACGCTGTATGAATAAAATTTAACTTTACGTCCTTACTGGGATCCATCATTTCACTTTACAGGTATCAGTGATATCTGCACATGTTCAGACATACCGCTGTGCAGAGAGCCATCCTCTGGGAAGTCTGCGTCCAGCATGAGATCATCATCAGCCAGATCGCACGAGTCCAGGTTGTTCAAGATGTCCTGAAAGACAGCGTACGACAGAGACACGCGGTCTTTAATAAGCCGACTCCAAGAAAACACACCGGGCTAAATTCAATGAGCAGAAAATGTTTCAGGATCTTCTAACGTCAACGTGCAGACAGCGAACGAGAGCATCCAGAGCTGGAAATACAAATGCTCCTTTCCACGGAGCACCACACAGGAAAGATGAGAGTACGGATCCACTCAGTGAAGTGTTGTTTAGGTCCAAACCTATCCCGACTGAACAGTTACAGCTTCCTGTCCTTTATTTTGGAAAAGAAACCTTGAAAGGAGATAAAGACAGAACACCGAGACGTCTCCGTTTTCTTATCTTGTAAATAAAGAAAACACGTTTTTGGAAATCTGGACCCTGCTTCCCTGATTTCCTTTCCTCAAACCCAAACTCAGCAGATTTTGCTGTTAGTGTGAACATCAGCTGATAAAATCTGCTACAAGCACGACTCACTGAGCGAGCGGCTTTCACATCATTGGGTCACCTGTTACTGCAGCTGGTTAACGACAACAACACGACCACTCACAAATCCACGCAGCTCCAAAACTAAAGAGTTTCATGCAGCTTGTATTTAATAAAAACTTTTATTAGCAGAGCCATGAGGAAGAAACGGTGCATCACTTTAAAACAAAGAAACGTTCCTGTCTGACTGCTGTCAGAGCTCTGAGGATAAATATCTATAACTAATCAATCATATCTATCAGTTAAACCTGAGCAGTAGGTTTTACCTTGTATTGTGTAACATGTCAACATGTCACAGGACATCTGCAGGCTACAGGTTAAGGATCAGCTTTGAGCTCCGTTCATTTACAGTAGGACACATGCTGACCGTGCTTTCAAAGTTATTCTGAAAAAATAAACGAGCGTCATCAGAAAACAGCAGCAGATGATCCTTCTATCATCCAGGACAGCGGTCGGAAAACTTGATAGTATCTCGATATTTGTGCGTTAGAGGAAAAAGAACATTTATTGAATAATTCTCTATTTGATTCTAGTTTTGCACAAGGTGATCAGACCTCGAAGAAACACAAAGACCAAAGAAAAAAAAATCAACAGCAATTTAACGAAGCAGCTGACAAAAGGCACAGACCGTCCCCTCGTCGTCAGCAGGTCTTTTGTGCTTGCTGATCAGCTCTGAGTTCTTCTGTCCGTGCAAGAGTTCGAAGGCTGCTTCATGCAGAAGCATCTGCCTGCATGTGCTCAGCCACATGCAGTTAGCCTGTAGCTACGACGCAGAGGCTCCTCCAGCCACCATGAAGATGATCTGCAGCGATAACCACAGCAAAAGTTACAGGACTCGTTTTTAGTCAAACGGCATCAAACTGTGTCAGAGGTGAACACTCGCCAACACTAATGTTGTAACAGAGTTAAAGTTTCTCACAAGCAAACATCAAAATTCATCCTTGAAGAAAACGAAGACGAAGAGTCAGAAAAGCTCAGTCACACCTGAGTGACCCGAGAGGAAAATAACACACACACACACACACGC